ATTGTCTGCCAACCCTGTATATGATCTTGGATACACTCTCCATTTAGACATACATAATTGTTTAGCTTGTTCACCCATCTATCCATCCCTATACCCATGTTTGCTTTCATTGACAACTCAGTATTGTTCAAATGGTATTTCTAATTCCAACTTTTGAAGAAATCACCATACTGCTTTCTACAATGGTTGTACCATTTTACAGTCCCACCAGCAGCGTATGAGAGTCCCAATCTCTTCACATCCTCATCAGCATTTGTTATTTTCTGTCTCGTTGAACTTTGCTAGTAGTGCTGGAGCAAGATGGTATGTCATTGTTGTTTTGATTTGCATCTCTCTAATAGGTAATTATCATGAGCCTTTCTTCATATGTTTGTTGGCTACTTGAATGTCCTCCTTGGTGAAGTGTCTATTCATGCTTAAGACTGTTTCTTAAAAATTACCTTCAAAATATATTTATTTCTGTGAAATAAAAGCAATGTATAATAGGAAACTATATATGAAGAAAACTATGTCCAGTGATATGAACACATCTGTTGAAAAGCCATTCCTTTAGTTCTCCCAACCCCCTCCCATTTCTTTAATTCTGTGATGGCTCATGGCTGACACCTAGGGGAAAATGTATGAATAGTATCTTACTGAAATTAAATGTCAGGACTTTGGGAGAAAGAAAAAAATGCTGAGGTTCTTGAAGTCGGGGTTTCTAGAAGCCAGGGGATTACTTGGAAAAAGCCATGTGAGCCGAGCCGTTCGCTGATGGTGTACACACTGAATGCTGGTCTGCGTACACTTAGTCGCGCACTCTCTCTGTTGTAATCGTGGGACACATAGCGCTTGAAAAGTCAGAAGGAAGACGGGGCTAGGTGCTTCTGAACTGCTTTGCTTGCATTTCATATATTGACATGATTCTGTAAACGCATTTCACAGAATTTGAGCTAGCGCTTGTGTTTTGAATTAATTTGAATTCTTAAACCTCCAACTGTGGATGTAGGATAGAAATATCAATGTCACAAAATCTAAACATTAGCTTTCTCAGCATGTCAGGGTCACTGAATCGGCGTTTTGTTTTGATCAACTCTAATTGCCACTTAGCCTAAATAATTTAGCTGTGATACCACAGATTGACACAAAATATGATAAAATTATTTCTAACATATTTTTAGTATAGTGTTTGCATGTTCTATTACTATATATATATATACATATATATATATATATAGGTAGGTAGGTATGTATGTATTAGGGGGCAGTTAGAGGAAATTTCTAGCAGCCTTTTTCTGATGAACACAAAACCGTTCTAAAGCCCCAGTGACACAGAGAACTGGGGGTGCAGATCCCATGCCCCATACCTGAAGCGTTAGGGTCACTGCATCCAGCTTGAGGAGCAGGAGTTATTGTATTGACCTGTTTGTAATTAGCCCAGTAGCTGCTGCTGACCAACCGGGCTGTGAACCTCTGACAAAGGCATCATCTGCCCTCTCTCTTCCCTCCCCCCTTTTTTTCTTTTCTTTTTTTTTTTTTTTTTTTTTCCAACTTTGTTTTTTGTTTCTCTTTCTTTGCTGTTTTCTTCTCTCAAGCATCAGTTAGCCTCTACTGCCCACATGGGGGCACCCATCTGTTTGAATCCCACTGAACTGTGTATTAACGCCTAAAAGAAGTACACCTACTCCTGACTTAGTGACTCTTGTCTGATGTTCCACATTTAAGATGATAGTAAAAATTCTACTGGCTACTTTGCAGGTTAATGATGTATAGCTGACAGTAATGAGTTCTGAGGTACAAGGCATGAATAATGCTGGCCGTGAAGGTTAGTGTTATCTGTCAGCTTGACTGAGCCATGGTTCCTAGTGGTATGGCAGTTACGTAGTCATGTAATCTGGCATTTATGTGATAAAGTAGTCATTCTCCATTTTGTATGATATTAAAAAAAAAGGAAAACCAAACTCACTGCCATTGAGTTGTTTCCAATTCATAGCAACCCCTCCTTGGGTTTCCGAGGTGGTATTTCTACAGAAAGAGGTTGCCCAGTCTTCCTTCCGAGGAGTGGCTGATATGGTCATCCTTCATTTTCTCATAATGCCTATTTTTACACAACTTCCTCGTCCTTAGAACGCAACCATGTTGGTAAGTGAGGAGTGGTGTATTGTTTGGTAAGGTTTTAAAAATCCACCTGTTCAAGTGAGATACAATCTGTATTAGTACGGGTAGTTTGAATCTGCATCAAATCTGTCTGAGTGCTAGAAGCTAAAGAGAAGAAAAAGAAACCACAATGAAAGCTGCACTTTCTCTCTTTCAGGCCAAGCAAGCCCTACTTGAAATGGATGCTGTCTGTAAGTTTTGAATCTTTATACTTGAAAGTTCCTTTTCCGCTTGCACCTGTAATTCTTTCTATCTTAGAGTTTATGGAAATTCCAGTTGTAAAAAAGGAAAAACAGTAGCTGTTGGTGTTTGAACAGAGAGAGCAAGCGGACAATACAATCTCCTCCTGACACATTGACTGGTTTCTACATGGATTTCTGCTGGTTGATCTGAGAGTCACTTGATGGCAGGCCCCAGGCCTAGGTTTCTGTATCAACCAACAACATAGGACATGATTTTAAGGTCAGCTCTTCCCCACTGTCCACCCTCACCAGAAAACAAGGCTCTGTGGTACCTAGCGTACCCCTAAAAGTCCTTGTTGATTGTATGCAAAGAAAATACCAACTAGATGGTCATGGGTTTTCCTGACATTCTGAGTTGTAAGCTTGCAGCCACCCCACAGATACAGCTGTATTTCTAGGCAGAGAATCAATATAACTAATGTTCTTCCTGTGAGTAAGGCATTGTTCAACAGCACATCTCACGTCTGCATTATCTGGCAGATAAAAAACAGAATGAAAAGAAAAAGCAGTGGCTTTAAACACTCAGCCTGGTCTGCTAGAAACTCATTCTTAAAACATTTCTACTTTTACTAAAACTTTTCAAATATGTTACTTTTGAAGAATCTTTCTGCAAGTATAAAAAACACTGGGTGCCTTACCCCCAAGCCTGCCAATTATTAAAAATTGTTTAAAAAAAAAAAAGTCACCCAAGCAGAAACATGAGCACCATCGTCACCACCATCTATTTTGAGAGCACTAGGTACGGCGCACAGTTTGCACTCAACTACACACTCGAAAATAGGCAGTTCAAACCCAGCCTGCCATGGAAGAAAGACCTGGCAGTCTGCTTCTATATGGATTACAGCTAAGAAACCCTACAGAGCAGTTCCACTCTGTGACATACAGGGTCATCGTGGGTTGGAGCTAACACTACAGTGAGAGGTTTACACATAGATGTGGTCGCCCACTTCATATCCAGCAACCAAAAAACCAAAAGCACTGCTGTCGATTCAGATCCAACTCATAGCGACCCCTCCTTGGGTTTCCAAGGCGGTATCACTACAGATTTCCCAACTGTCCTTCCAAGGAGTGGCTGGTGGGTTTGAACCGCCAGCCTTCTTGTTAGCAGGGGTTCCCTACTGGGTGCAGGTCTGAGGCTGTTTTCCCCTGTGCTCTCTAAATCACCACATTATTCCAAGGAAGTCTTGTTAAGACCGTGTTTTAAGAGCACTCTGAAGAGCAGGCCAGGCTTTGGCGCTAGGTCTTTGTGAACCAGGAGGAAGATGGGGTTCTGGAGAAGTTGGCTCTTACTGTGATAGCCTCAGGTCAACATCATTAGTTACTTATTTCCAGGCTCTAGGGTAGCTCTTGAACTTAAGGAATTAAGCCACTAATTGGCATCCCATGCATCTCACCAGGCCCAGGCCACGGCAGCCCAGCCTAAGGCAGTGACCATATTTGTTCATCTCTGGGTTTAGAATTGGCTGAGTGTGAACAGGACAGGACAGTCCATTGGCCCAAATGACCTCATTCATACAGCTTTGTCTCTGACACTGGAGAAGCATATTGTGTTCTTTACAGCTCTCGAAGCTCTCTCTGAATTTTAGATGCCCTTAAAGAGCCTTAACCCTGATTTGAGAAAGGGCTGTATCCTACAACTGTCTCCCCTTAGACTGCAGGGTACAAATCAGTATTGACTCTGCAGCAGCACCTTGAAAGAGACCAGATTTTCTTGATCCAGGGTCTTTATATGCCTCTTAGGAGCTCTCAGAAGTTTGGCAGTTCAAACCACCAGCCACTCCATGGAAGAAAGATGGGCCAGTGTGCTTCTGTAAAGATACACAGCCTTGGAAACTCAATAGGGGTTGCTGTGAGTCCGAATCAACTCAATGGCAGTGAGTTTGATTTCGTATATGCTCCTTTGGTGAAGTAGAAAGACACGCACTCTAAGAAACTAAATAAAAATCCTTTTCCAGTAGGAGAATCTATAATTTTCATGAAAGGCTTAAAGGAGTGTTTGTCTGGAATAGTGTGAACACTTGCTGTGCTGGAGGACAACCTCCGTGAGGGCAGGTTCTGTGCCACTGGGCTGGAACCAAATACCCCCTGAAACTGTCACTTCAGTCAAGTTCTCCAGTGTCACCTGAACACAGCATCTGTTGGGGCCCATCTCAGTCTGGGGCTATGGGAACAAGTTTAGCTGCAGGTGTGTTTTTTAGTTGCATTTAGTGACCCCCGTGGGGCATAGAGTCACAGGTTATTCTGAGTGGCCATGTGAAGTCATACATGTTTCAGCTAACATTCTAGGAAGGGTAAAGTCAGGGGTCATAGCTCTTTCTGCTAAGAATGAATGATGTGCGTTCAGGGAGAGAGGAGAGCAAGAGAGGATGAGAGTAAGCAAGAGGGTGCAGCTGAACTTAGGGAACAGTCCTCACGGCCCCATTGTAAAGAGAAGGCTCTGAAATGCATACTGAGCACCAGTCACGGGGACATGGGTCGAATCCATGTCGGACGAGAAAGAACACATCCAGAAGAAGTCACAACAGTTTTCTGAAAAGTCAGAAAACACCTCATTCTTGCTGGTGTGTGTGGTTGTCTTCTCAGATCACCCAGGCTTCTGTTACAGTCCCGAGGGAGAGTCAAGAGCAGTCTGTGGTTCAAAAGAAGGTTCTGTTCCATATCGACTGAGAAGAAAATCTGGTAAGTAGGGTGTTGTGATCAAAATTTAATAATTATGGGGGACTAGTAATGAAACCACTATCAGTTTGTCTATCAGTTTGTCATATGGTGGTGGCTTGCATGTTGCCATCATGCTGGAAGTTGTGCCACTGGCATTAAAAATACCCATGGTAGACAAGTTTCATCACAGCTTACAGACCAAGACAGGCTAGGCAGGAAGACCTGCGGAGCTACTTCTAAGCTGACCAGCTAAGACCTTGTGAATAGCAGCAGGATGTTTTCTGATATTGTGCCATCAGATGAGCCCCTCAGACTGGAAGGCCCTCAAAATATGGCTGGGAAAGAGCTGCCTCCTCAGAGTAGAGTTGCCCTTAATGACATGGATGGAGTAAAGCTTTTCGGACCTTCATTTGCTGATGTGGCGTGAGTCAAGATGAGAGGAAACAGTTGCAAACATCCATTAGTAACTAGACTGTGGAATGTATGCATGTAGGAGTATTACAAGTTGTCAAAAATGAAATGGAATACTTAAAGACTAGTATCCTAACCATTACTTACTAAAATAGACTTGTATTGGTCATTTTGAATTGGACAGTCACAGGTCTACGCCAGGAATGACAAACTGCAGAGGAAGACTTATTAATACCAGTATTATTCAAATTTACACACCAGTCAGTTGTGCCAAAGATGAAGAAATTGAACACTTTTACCAACTTCTGCAGTTTGAAATTGAGCAAACATGCAATCAAGATCCAGTGATAATTATTGGTGATTGGAATGCAAAGGAGAAGGATCCAGTAGTTGGAAAATACAGCCTTAGTGATAAAAAAACTGCAGAGAGTACATGATAGCATTTTGCAAGACCAAAGACTTAGTACTTGTAAATACCTTTTTCAACAATGTAAAGGTTGACTATACATGTGGACCTTGCCAGAGGACATACACAGGAATCAGATCGACTATATCTGTAGAAAGAGTAAATGGAGAAGCTCAATCTCATCAGTCAGAACAAGGCCAATGGCTGATTGAGGAACAGATCATCAGTTGTTTTTGTTAAGTGCCGTCAAGTCATCTTCGACTCCTAGCAACCCTGTGCACAGCAGAACAAAATACTTCCTGGTCTTGTGCCAGCCTCATGATCCTTGCTATACCTGATCATCAATTGCTCATTTGTAAGTTCAAGTTGAAGCTGAAGAATATTAAAACAAGTCCATGAGAGCGAAAGTACAACTTTGAGTATGTCCGACTTGAATTTAGAGACTATCTTGAGAATAGATTTGACTAATGACTGATGACCAAACAAGTTGTGGGATGACATCAAGAACATCATAGATGAAGAAAGCAAAAGGTCATTAAAAAGAAAGAAAAGACCAAAATGGATGTCAGAAAAGAGTCTGAAACTTGCTCTTGAACATAGAGTAGATAGAGCAAATGGAAGAAGTGATGTAATAAAAGATATGAACAGAATATTTCAAACAGTGCCTTGAGAACACAAAGTATCATGATGAAATGTGCAGAGACCTGGAGTTAGAAAACCAAATGGGAACAACATGTGCAGCATTTCTCAAACTGAAGGAAACGGAAGAAAAGATTCAAGCCTCAAGTTGCAATACTGAAGGATTCTATGGGCAAAATATTGAATGACCCAGGAAGCATCCAAAGAATATAGAAGGAATAGAGAGTTACTGTACAAAAAGAATTGGCCATCATTCAGCCATTTCAGGAAGTACCATACGATTAAGAACTGATGGTGTGGAAGGAAGAAGTCCAAGCCGCACCAAAGGCTCTAGAAATTGAAAGAATACCAATTGCGATGTTTTAACAGACGGATGCAGTGCTGGAAGCACTTGTCTATGCCAAAAAATATGGAAGACAGCTACCTGGCCAACCGACTGGTATATTATTAATATACACATAAGTAAAATTTTGCTGATAATTCAAAAACAATTGCAGTGATACACCAACATGAAACTGCTAGAAACTGAGAAGAAGATGTGGAACGTGGGGTATCAATCCTGATGTCAGCTCGATCGTGGCTAAAAGCAGAGAATACGAGAAAGATGTTTACCTGTATTTTATTGACCATGCCAAGGCATACAACTGGGTGGATCATAACAAATTATGGATAACGTTGTGAAGAAGGGCAATTCCAGAACACTTAATTTTCTTCATGAGGAACCATATACCAAAAGGCAGTCAGTCATCAAACAGAACAGTACTTCATGGTTTAAAATCAGGAAAGGTATACGTTGGGGTTGTATCCTTTTACCATATGTATTCAGTCTGTATGTTAAGCAGTGAATCTGAGAAGCTGACTGTATGAAGAAGAACATGGCATCAAGATGGGACGAAGACTCATTAACAACCTGTTATATGCAGAGGACACAACTTTCCTTGCTGAAAGGGAAAAGGACTTGCAGCACTTACTGATGAAGGTCAAAGACTACAGCCTTCACTATGGATTATATTTTAACGTAAAGAAAACAAAAATCCTCACAACGGCACCAAAGGGCATCATGATAAATGGAGAAAAGATTGAATTTGTCAAGGATTTCATTTTACTTGGATTCATCATCGTAACCACTGTAAGCAGCAGTCAGGTAATAAACAACATAGTGCATTGGAAAAATTGGCTGCAAAAGACCACTTTGAAGTGTTAAAAAGCAAAGATGTCATTTTGAGGAGTAAGGTACACCTGCCTCAAGACATGATATTTTCAGTCACCTCATATGCATGCAAAAGCTGGACAGTGAATGAAGAAGACCAAAGAAGAGCTGATGCCTTTGAATTGTGGTGTTAGCAACAAATATTAAATATGCATGGTCTTCCAGAAGAACAAACAAATCTGTCTTGGATGAGGTATACCCAGAATACTCCTTAGATACAGGGATGGCAAGACTTCATCTCACGTGCTTTGAACATGTTTCCAGGAGAGACTAGTCCCTGGGGAAGGACATCATGCTTGGTAAAGGGTCGGTGGAAAACAAGAAAACCTTCAATGAAATGGATTGGCACAGTGGCTGCAACAGTGGGCTCCAACACAGCGATAACAATCACGAGGATGGTGCAGGACCTGGCATGTTGCATTCTGTGGTGCATAGGCTCAGCGTGAGTTGGAACTGACTCGAGAGTTCATGCTGTGGTGCATAGGCTCACCGCGAGTTGGAACTGACTTGAGAGTACGTAAGAACAACGAGTGATGAAAGTTCCTTGCAGTTGGACAAAAAGGTATCTGTTTCCAGTTTTTGAGCTCACTACCAGTTTGAATGCTGTCTTAAGATGGGACTCAAACTTGTTTATCTTAAAACACTTCTAAAAATTTCCCAATGAATCTAAACATATCAACCAGTTTTGCTTTGTGTAGCATTGTACCATTTAGTATGTAGATACTTTATTTACTTTTGCTAGTGGAAATGTGTCGGGAGCTCTGGTAGCATAGTGGCTAATACACTTGCCTGCTAACCAGACGGCTGGCGGTTCAAACCCACCAGCCACTCCTCGGAAGGAAGGTTGGGCAATCCTATTTCTGTAGTGATATTGCCTCGGAAACCCAAGGAGGGGTTGCTATGAGTCGGGGCCGACTCGACGGCACATAACAACAACAATAACAGTGGAAATGTGTATCTTATAAATGACATATATAAAAGATTATTCAAACTTTAATATTTTTATACTTATTTGCTAGACCAAACTCAATGAAGTATTTTCTTAGCCATTATATGTTTTGTTTTATTTAAATAAGTATTTATTGTATACTTATATCTTGCATTATGATGAAGGCTATGATTACAGTGATAAATAATACCGATTTTTATACCTGCTTATAAATAATTCATAGCTTAGTGGTAAAGTAAAAGTGTCAATAAATGCCCATCTATATAATGGAGCTACAAAGGAAGGTTGGGCAATCTACTTCCGTAGTGATACTGCCTCGGAAACCCAAGGAGGGGTCGCTGTGAGTCAGGTCCTACTTGATGGCACATAACAACAACAACAACATGATGCTGAACAGGTTTATTGGAACCCCAGACTAAGATGGACTAGGAAGAATGTCCCAGTGATCTGTTCCTGAAAATCAGCCAATGAAAACTCTATGGATCATGGGGTCCAATCTGTAACAAATTATAGGGATGGTGGGATGGTGCAGAACCAGGAGTGTTTCATTCCACTGTGCATGGGGTCATCATGAGTCAGGAGCCAACATTGACAGGTAACAGCGACACAAATGATGGAGCTATGGCAGAGGTTTATGGGATGGAGAGGTGGAGAGACAAGAGACAGGTTACCCCTCGAGGAGGGAGAGAGAAGGCTTCACAGAATGGGGGGCCAGTGCCCTGGATGGAATCCTGAGGGGAAGGAATAGCACACAGAGGACCCTGAGATATGAGGTTATGTACCTTAGCACAGATCTCTTGTCAGTGGTTCACCCTGGCTGCCATGTGGATGGAGCTGGAGGTGGGCAAGGTTAAATGGAGAGTGATGTGGCTGGGGATACAGATGGGGACCTGACCATGGAAGGTGTAGTAGGCCATGTGTCGAGTTTTGATTTGATCCTGCAAAGTAGAGAAGGATATCAAGCAACAAACAACGAGAATATCTGCCTTTAAGAGAGAGAACTCTGATTTCATATGGAGAATAAAGTAGTTAGGGAGACCAGGTAGTGCGCTGTCAGACTCGTTCAGGTGAGAGATGGTAAGCATTTGGATTAAGACAGTGGGGCTAGGATGGAGAATTATTGGGAACCCCCAAGATGGTGGTAGAAAAAAATTCCAATACTCTCTTAAGAGTAAACCAAAGAGGTTTGTTGAAGAATAGATAGAGTTTGAACCAGGGAGACAGTCCACGAGGTGAAACTAAGTCCTCCCACATTCTGAGGGAGAGGTGAGCTCCTTATGTAGAGAAGTGGGGGAGGAGTATGTGACCACAGTCATGGGGGCTTGAAATTACACACAGTTACAAGACAGCAGCAAGTTAAAATTTTTTCAGATTTGCTAATCTGTTTTCTAGCATAGTCTTCCTGAAACCAACCTAGCGAGTGATTTTCTGAAATACTTACATCCACGTTCTCCCTGGGGCACACTCCACAAGCATTCTCCCAAGGCATGCCTAATTTCCTGACAAACATTTCTTCATAAACCACATCCTTGTCTCCTCTGTTGTTTGCTGAGGGTAGTTTAAAGTTTCACAAGAATTTCACAAGACTCTAAATCACAGGATCTATTCTTGGGAAGGAACCATGGTGGCCCAGTAGTTAAAGTGCTCAGCTGTAAACCAAAAGGTCAGGAGAAGACAGATGAGGCAATTTGCTTCCATAAAGATTTACAGCCTTGGAAACCCTGAGAGGCAGTTCTACTCTGTCTAGTGTTGCTAATAGTCAGAATTGCCTTGACAGCAGTGGGCTTTGGGTATTCTTAGAAGACAGAAAAGGGAACAAGCTAAAGTTTGATTCAGAAAAATGGAGCTTTGATTCAGGCCTAAGTCCTTCCCTTTTAATCATGCCAGGGACCTCAATTTTAGAGTGCCCTCACACAATTGTGATAAGTAGAAGCAGGAGAAATTCAGAATGACATGCTGGTCTCTACCTTCCTTGGGAGGGGATAGGAAATACAGATGTGGGAACTGATTTTGAGGGGAGACTAATGAGCTGAATTTGAGACACATTGAGTTTGCTAGGTCTGTAAGGCATCTTGGGAAATGTCAGATTGGCAGTAGGTACTTGAGGTCTGAAGCTTGGAAGAGGAGTCTGGCATAAGAATATAAATTTGAGCGTTATAAAGTTATATGTAGTCGTTAAAGCAGAGAAGGTCAGCAGGACTGGTTGGTAAGGCAGTATTTTGCTTTCTTGTTATGTGACTACTGATTTCAAGGCTTTACATTTATTCTACAATTTTGACAGTAAACGTCTTGCTGGTGCGTATCTATAAACAGGTAAATTTGATAGAAAATATCTGGAGCTCAGTTAACTTGCTAGTAAATGACTAATTCACTTATAAATTTTAAAAAAAAATGTGATTTCTGTTTGCTAATGATGCTTGCTTTGTTTCTCTCTACCAGAACCGTCTTCAAGATCACATAAAGTTATGAAGACCAGTGGTAAGTGCTAACTTTTCTTTACTTATCCTTATCAATATCCACTATGTCAAACCTACATAAAAAATAAACACCAGATGAATTCAGATTGACAGACTTTATTACAGTAAGATTAACTTCTGTAAGTAAAAATGACCCTCTATAAAATGTAAAGCCAAATGATACATTTGTAATATAAATTACAAGTATAAACGATTAGTTTGCCCACTGTATCAAGAAATTTCATCAAAAAGAAGAGACAGATGACTCCTCCTTAAGGCAGAGGATATAATTTAACAGTTTCACAGCAAGTTGCCAATAAAAGGAAAAAACAAAAAGTCATCCCCATTACTAATCGGACACACATTGAAAGGAGATGGCTGGAGTGGGGAAAAAAGCTATGAGCTTTTCCAAAAGATGGAGAAGACACATGCTCTTTGATACTATTTGTGGAAGTATAAATTTTTGCAACCTTTTTGGAGCAAAATTTGATAACATTCATTAAGGTGTGAAAAGTACATTCCCCTTGGCTCAGGTATGTGTAGAAGTCCTCACTTAGGTGTGAGTAGCTCTGTATACTCATGGGTTCTTTGCAGCTTTTGTAAAGACATTCATTACACATTATGTGAACTTTATGTTCATATATTGGGAAATGATTGAGTATATTGTAGTACATCCATACAATGGGTTATTCTGTGCTGTCAGAAAGAATGAAGTAGATCTCTCTGTACGGTTAAGAAGGTCAACATGTATTTGACAGAAAAAACAGTGTTGCAGATCACATTTTTATTTAAATAAATAAATAAACTGCCTTTGTGGTATTTATATTGGATAGGCAGTGGGAACCCGGAAAGATGACCATCAAACTTATAACTGTGGTTACCTCTAAAATTCCAATTGCTATCGAATCGATTTTGGCTCATGTCAGAGATGCATGTCAGAGATGAACTGTGCTCCATAGGGTTTTCGGTGGCTGATTTTTGGGAAGTAAAAGTGAACTTGAACGTCCAGCCTTTCAGTCGGTAACCAAACACTTCAACTATGCTCTGCCCAGGGACTCCACCCGGGGGGCAGAATTTGTGGGGGAGGCTTTGTCACTTTTTACTTTATATCCTTCTGTAATATAAACGGTTTTTAAAGTTGAGACACACTTAATTGATTAAAACTTAAGGGATTAACAAGAAACTTAACATTCAGACATATGTAAGGTGGTTCTCCCTGTAGTGTAGATATGCAACATACACACATATATAACTCGGGTCACTGAGAACTTTTACACCTAACATGCAAAGAGCCCAGAAGGCTTTGGCCTTAAATTATTAGTAATAATTGAAAACTTCCTATAAAATATTAGTGCTTCTCTATGTATGAGATAGATTTTTTAATTCTCAGCCTTTAAAAAAAAAAATAAAACTCTTCTTTTTCAGAAACAACACAGGACATCCAAAAGGTAAGCACTGTTGCATTTCTTATTTTGAAATGTTTGCTTTAGGAGCCTATGAAGTACTTTTTCTCCTTTATATCTCAAGTCCAGCCCATATATACCAAGGATGTCATGCTTGGTAAGGTGGAGGGTCGATTAAAGAGGGGAAGGCCCTCGACAAGATGCATTGACACAGTGGCTGCAGCGATGGGCTCAAAGCAGGGATCGCAGAGCTGATGCGGGACCAGGCATTGTTTCGTTCTGCTGTGCATAAGGTCGCCACCAGTCGGAGACGACGCAACAGCACCTCACAAATAACAAGAAGCCTATATTCCCAGCATAAACAATCACTTTACATTTTGAAATAAACTTAACTGAGGACACATCCTTATCAGCCTCCTCCCTCCCCCACAGTTTTATCTCGCAGAATTAAGACCCTAGAAGTTGTTACCTCACCTTAGGCTGTAATGCCTGCGAGGACACAGTGATGCACCCCGCAGTGCTCTTATAAGACCTGCGTGTTGCTCACTTCTGCAGCCCTGGCCTTCAGTCCCACAGGAGGGACCCTCCACAGTCTAAGAGGTGTGATGATACGTGGTAGAAGTCTTCCTCATATCAAGCTGTTCTTTTTCTTCCCCTGAGGAAGGTTAGGACAGAGGGATTTGTTTTAATGTGTTAAAATGTAGATGGTAGGCTCTATTGGAAGAAGTGTATACAAACTGATTAGCAATAAAGAGTAAATATTGATAAAGAGTAAGTATTGCATCCTGGCCTGAATGATTTGATAAGGTTCTTGCTAATTTGACATTCCTAATACCTTGCTGGGGAGCTCTGGTAGCATAGTGGCTAAGGCACTTGATTGCTAACCAGAAGGCTGGCGGTTAAAACCCACCAGCCGTTCCTTGGAAGGAAGATGGGGCAATCTACTTCCATAGTGATGCTACCTTGGAAACTCAAGGAGGAGTCGCTATGAGTCAAGTTCGACTCGACAGCACATAACAACAATACCTTGCTGTAGAATTTTGATCAGAAGCAGTGTCCTGAGTACTAGTTGGTTTGAACAGGTCTTAACCCTTTCACCTCTTTTGAAGCTAATCCTCATACCTACAGAATAGTGTTAGAAGGTAATCAACTCCCTGTCTGCACAATTCAGCCCCATCAGGAAAGTTCCAAGTTATAAAAGACCCCATTGTTTTCTCTGATTGCCAATAGTTAATGCCACTCATATTTGACTTTCTACCAGGCAACTAAATGTTACTTAATTAAATGTATTTTGAAGGAAAGTAAAAATTCATTAGTGGATTAAGTGACATTCCTGGGATAAAAGGGTTTTTGACTAGAATCGATAAACTAAGGTAATGCTGGTCAGGTTCCCAGTAGGTCCACAGATTTAAAGAAATGCTTGGAGTGTACGGTCAGGTTACTGACAAAGATTTGTGGTATCAGGCTCCTAGGAGCCAAGCACTGGCTCTGAGGCTCTAATAGAAACCATGTATCATGGCCCTTGAGCCCTACATGTATCATATATTCATTTGTGTAATGAATATTTGCCAAGTGTATGTCGGCCTTACATGAAGTATCTAAGAGCTTTCTGAGTTTAACTGATATTCTTCAGTGGGGCATGGGTGCAATCAGACCTGGCTTGAGTCCTAGCTTACTGCTGACAGGGTATAGCCAAGTGGCTGACTCCATACGAGCCCCAGATTTCCTTGCTGTGAAACTGGTACAATCCTATCTGATTTATAGACCGACTATGAACATTAAATGTGGAGAGTGTCTGCAAATGACCTACCCTACTTTCTAAATAAACGCTAGTTACTGTCCTTTTTTCCCTTTCCTTTATCAAGTAGTAGAAGTGCTTTTCAACTCAGTTGAAAGTAACAGTTTGTCCTGATCATCTGCTTTAAGATTACTCTAGGGCAGAGACCCTGTGTAAATACAGGAGAGCATCATGTATCTTCTCCATGGTGGTGTTGCTCAATTGCTATGTTTCTGACCTCCTAGGCTTCCAGAGAGGAAGGGTCTCCCCAGCTGACCTCAACAGGACCACGACCTACCCAGAGGAACAGCCAGCCAAGCAGTTCCAGCATCCTCAGTGTGCTGGGCGGGGGTGGTGCTATGAGGAACATCTGGACGGACCATCAGATCAGGCAAGCCTTGTTCCCCAGTCAGCGGTCCCCACAGGAGAATGAGGACGATGAAGATGATTATCAGATGTTCGTGCCATCCTTTTCCTCTTCAGACTTGAATTCTACCAGACTGAGTGAAGATGGCACTTCAAGTCGCCCTTGCAGCTGGCACATGGGACAGATTCAGTCCTCAGAGGCCTCCAGCTCTGGCCACAGGGTTGTTAGGAGGGCCAGCAGTGCTGGTGAGAGCAACACCTGCCCTCCTGAAATAAGGATTAGAGACAGTGATGGCTCTCAGTACAGCCCCCAAAGGGAACAGCAGAATGGCCCTACCACTGAAGGGCAGGATGGTGTGACTTCCTTTGGATCTTCTATAGAGTTGACTGTTGATGACATAGACCATGTCTATGATAACATAAGTTATGAGGACTTGAAACTAATGGTTGCTAAACGAGAAGAAGCTGAATCCACTCCCCAAAAATCAACCAAAGACTGTGTTCGCCCCAAAAGCACCCTGGAGTTAGCCTTCTCAAAGAGGCATACTGACCAAGATAGGAGCACTCTTCACACGAGAAGAGATGGAACTCTAACAGGCAGAAAGGCATCTGACCAAAGCACTCATGACCTCAAGGTTGTTGAAGAAAACATCTATGACACTATAGGGCTCCCTGAGCCACCATCGCTGAATTTCAAATGCAGCAGCCTCAAACGGCCTAAGAGGAGCACCTTTTTGGGTCTGGAGGCTGACTTTGCGTGCTGTGACAGCCTGAGACCATTCGTTTCCCAGGACAGCCTCCAGTTCAGCGAGGATGAAACGCCCTACCACCAGGGTCCCTCTGATAATGATTACCTGAGTTTGCTATATAACTCTCCCGACTGTAATTTGTCCGTGGCTGATAAGGCCATATCTGATAAACTGTCGGAAGAAGTAGATGAAATCTGGAATGATCTTGAAAATTACATCAAGAAAAATGAAGACAAAACTCGAGAGCGTCTCCTTGCTGCGTTTCCTGTTAGCAAGGACGACATGCCAGACAGGCCGCATGCAGGGAGCACGCCTGAGCTGACCAAGGATGCAGCCCGTTCCACGTCCACACTCTCACTTCCAGAGAGCCACGCTTTCCTCAGCCCTGTGAGAAACAGGGCCAGCCATGGCAGCCGAGCCAACTACCCACTGGACAGAACCCGGAGTGCTCAAGAAGGCCCCTCTGTGAGCCTGGATCGACTCTCTCTGGCCAGTGACATTCCGCCCATGGAGAGTCCCTACGAGCTGGCCAACAGCAGTGTGTCCCAGGGAGACCCAGAAGCCCCTGAGCCTGGGGCCGAGGCCTCAGATAAAACAAAAAGCAGGGTGTTCTTGATGGCGAGGCAGTACAGCCAGAAGATCAAAAAGGCCAATCAGCTCTTCAAAGTGAGCAGCCCAGAGCCAGAGCAGCCGGCGGCCAGCCAGCAGCATGACTCGGCGCACAGAGACCTGGCCGCCATTCTGGAAGAGAAGAAGCAAGGCGGGGCCGCCATTGGTATGTTCACAGTGCTTTTCCTCCTTTTTGCTAGTGAGATGTGGGTGCAGTTTCAGACTTTAAAATGCCCTGAAAACTGATAAACTTGTGATCACGTTGTCAGTCAGACAGTTTCGGTATCAAAAGTCACCGACGACACCATGACTAATCTTTCCCGTTTCACTTCCAGTGAATCACGTGAAGGGGAGGGTAAGTTAGAGCTTGACTTGGCCTGTTCAGGTTCTGTTGTGCGTGTAACATTGTCACTACAAGGTCGATGTTTTCAGAAAAACGTTTTCTTCAAGGTAATCTGAAGTATGCAGAACCGCCACTGGTTGATCCCATTTCAGTCGTTTGTTAGGTGCAGGAGTAGGCCGTGTAAGCTTTTAAAGTCTGGAAGCACGTGGAATAGGGTTGCTCTTGGCTGCAAAACAGCAAAAATGCCTACTCCTTCTAACTAAAATTAAAAGGGTCTGTCTGGCGGTTTGCTTAGCTCTTCACACTGTAACTCACTAAGTTGTGTTGTCACTTACTTTGGTTCTGGTTTGAGGTTTTTAAATAGCTGTTATGAAGCCAGCTGACTCATTCGCTTCTCTCCCATATGCTTTCAAGCAGTGTAATTCTGTCGTCCAGCGCCTGGGGGCAGAACTAAACCACCATCTCAGGTGTGATCTTGGGAGGATTAGGGCTACGGGAACAAAGGGTGTATGTGTGAATAAGGTACATGATTGTCCTGGAAAGAAACAGCTGCACGAGTGACCAGCATTCTCCCACGATGAGCTGTTTGCTCCCAGGCCCGGCAAGATATCTGATGTCAGGCCCAGGAATCTGCATTTTAAAACACTGTGGCTTTTATATTGTCATTTAAAAAACTTGTCCAGGTTTCCGGACAGAGAACCACCTCATTATCAAATGACAGGAATCAATCCTCCCCTTTGAAAATAAAAGCAGAGGACAGCTTCAGATAGTTTCTTGATAACAACATGGAGGTTTGGCCAGGTTGATGCCCTTGATGTCCTTTCTTGGGATGGATTTATTTATCTCCATGGAAACCAGAGGGTAAGTGGCAGGAGAGATGTTGAAGTGCTAAGTAAATCTGGACTTTACATGACAAGGATCCTCAGGGTTTTTTTCATGTGTGTGTGTGTTTTCTTAGTTTGGGAAAATTAAGAATTATACAAAGCTTTAATCTTTTCATATAGTAAAAAAAAAAAAAGAAAGCTGCTGTCGCCTGTGGCTTGTGGAGACCCCATGTGTGTAGGTAGACCTGCATTCCATAGGGTCTCCTACAGCTGAGTTTTCCAAAGTCGGTCCCCAGGCCTTTTTCTGAAATTATAGTAAATTTCTTAGTTGATGGGGAAGGTAAGCCCTGGAACTATACCAGAAGGATTTCACAGTCTCCTTTGAGATCGTCTGTCTGTCTCTTTTTTTTCAAATAGAGATTTAAAGTGATTTTGTTTGAATGTGAGAGAGAATAAGTCACATATATTTTTCTCCTTGCTTCAAGTAATTCATGTCCATTTTCCAAAGCTAGTGTTGTTAAACTGCTTTGTTGTTGTACTTAGAGAAAATGACTAAATTCCCAGCTGCAGAAAGACTATCTTTTTGGGCACAGATGGCAATTGGAAACAGTTGTGTGTTAGCAAAGGTGCAATTGAAATCCTTGGCTGGATCTATCAGTGGCCATAATTTGTGGCAGCTCTCAGACTAAGAGAAAATATGATGCTAATGTTTAATGAGCACCAAGTGCCCAGGCCTGGTGGTTTTGAACATGGACCATCTGTTATTAGAAGCAAGAATTCTAACCTTGGTAGAAGCCTGTCCTTTCAAGACTGAATCATGAGGTCTTCAACGACCTGGGATAGTTGTCTTTTTTACCCCTTTGTTAAACATGAGCTGATTTCAGTGTGGGCTCTTCTTTCCTTTCTTTTCCACTTTAGTTTGCTCCCATTTTCATTGTATCTCCCAGGGTCTTCATGGGATCCCATAGGCTCTTAGCTTTGTGTCAGGGTCCTCTCTTGACATGGTGGGCTGCTATTGATGTTCTCCCCAACAAAGAGCAGATCTCTCCACAGTCGTCTTCCGAGAGCGGTGTCTTCCCTGCTGTCTGGCAGGGGCGCGTCCCTAGGGCCTGCCATCTCTGGACCCTGACGCCTCGTCCATCTGGGCGGCTCGAGACCACTTCCTGTGCCCACTTGGCTTTCACCCAGTTGACATGATGACCCCTTTTCTCTCTCTTGTTTATCTGGGCACAGGACGTCGTCATCGAATGGACCGATTCTCCAGACTTCTTCGTGTGGGCCTTGCCACTTGGCCAGGAGCTTGCTCTCGGTGTTGTGCGGAAGGAGGAGCACCCTATTCACCTGCTGAAACTCTCGAGCATCTTTATTGACCTCTCTAGCCGGGCTCTATAGGCCCCGGGTCAGATATCCGCCTAGAACTCGCCCAACCAGGTCTAGTTGCTCCCACTTTTTAGAGCCTGTTGCAGCATGCTGGCTGTTGTCACTGGTCTCCCCACTGATGGTCTCTGAGGCATGCCTCTGGGTTCCCATTTTTTGTGACGTTTTCCCGGGAGAAGACTCCACAGTGACTGGAGCGCACTTCCTGCTTGTGAAGTCTAGGCGAGGCAGGGTAACATTGTATGCTTTGTCTGTATCAGAAGCAGCATCAGAAACGGTGGAGGTAATCCTCTGTCTTGAATCCCTGAGCAAGGGTCCCGTCAGATTTGACTGCAGTCATGAGAACTCTGCCTTTTAAACCTGCCAAAGGGGAAATGAGCCAAAAACAGCCCTGGGATGTACCTGCTCTATAGGGAATGTTAACAACGCCAGAACTGAGGGTGAGGTGGAACCTTGATCAGCTGATGAACCCTAAGCTTTTTAAGCTGGAGGTGTTGTGTTATGTTAGGCTGTTTCCTGTGCGTCTGGCCGAGGGAATCTGTTTAAGGGTAGTTGTTCCTATCTTTCATTCACATTGGCATCACGTGACTGGTTTTCTCTAAGGACAAGTTGACACACACGAAACTTAGAAGGCATAGTATATCGTCTGCTTGTGAGTTATTCAGAGTTGTTAAATGATCAACTCTTTGTTACCCAAAGATAAACTGGACATGTTACGAGTTCTCTGTGGATAGAGCCATGAGTGGCACCAACAGTTACGTGTGCCACTGCAAGCCAAGAGCTTGGTGGTTCGAACCACTCCCAAGAGCCCCAGAAAAAAAGCCTGGCAGTCTGGTCCTCAAAGTTCACAGCCTTGACCCTTTGGAGCACAGTTCTACCAGTTCTACTCTGGCACCCAGAATTAACTCCATGGCAGCTGACGACAGGCTGAGAGTCACCTCTAGGGGGCATCTGGATCACAGACTCGCTTCTGCTTCCTCTTGTCCTGCTGGGCTCCTGGTTTACATGCTACCTTTCCACCCTCGGTGCTGCAGTCTCAGCAGAGGTGCATCCACTTTAACACTGTGCTTAACACAGAACGAGGCAAACAGTTGTCTGAGTAATGAAGTAGCTATTGAGACCACGTCCGACTGGAACCATGCTACGTGCTCTGTGAGGATTTGAGCAAGTTGTTGTTCTCCAACATTAACTCACACATAAGCTGGAATAGTGAACGAGTCCATAGGAACTCTGGTAGCATAGTGCCTAAGGCACTTGACTGCTAACCAGAAGGCTGGCGGTTCAAACCCACCAGCCACTCCTCAGAAGGAGGATGCGGCAATCTACTTCCGAGGTGATACTGCCTCAGAAACTCAAGGGTCCGACTCCACGGCACATAACAACAACAGTGAATGAGCCCATATAAAACAACTAATAACAACACAAGATGGTGTGTGTACGTGCATAACCAACAGCTGAGTGCTGTGGGTATGCCCGTGTGACGATAGCTAAACCCCAAGGCACACTGAGTATATAAGAATTAGAAAAGAGAAGTCAGTTAAAAAGGGTTTCTTGAAAAGGCTAGGGCTTATAGCAGGTCTTGAGAAATGGGTAGATTTGATTAACCAAAGGGAAAGGAGAGTGTGATAAGGAAGACAGAGGCAGGAGAAATGCTGTGCTTTTGATAATACATGCTTTCAGTTTATCTGGGCTACTATGTTTTAAAGTCAAGAGCTGGTGGTTCTTAGAAGACTTAATGGTTAATTTTTAGTACTAGAATAATTCAACTAATTTCTTTAAATCTTTTTACTGCTTATCTCAAAGTTGTCATCTTCTTGAAACCTAGTTGAAAGTTCCATCTTCATGACTCAGGTGTGAGATCAGGCTCAGGGCTTTAGTGTTGGAGAATGAGTTAGACAGAGACATCTGATTTTTGGGTTGGACTGACAACCAGTGACTACATCTGAAGGCCAGCTACCTTTGATTGGGCTTCATAGTTGATGAGACGCTAGATTTCAAGATGGCTAAGATGGGCACAAGAGCCCTGGTGGCATAGTGCCTAAGGCATTAGACTGCTAACCAGAAGGCTGGCGGTTCAAACCCACCAGCCACTCCCTGGAAGGAAGATGGGGCAATCTACTCTGGTAGAGATACCACCTCAGAAACCCAAGGAAGGGTCACTATGAGTTGGATTGACTCAATGACATTGAGTTTGATTTTTTTTTGGAAGATGGGGACAGAAGCACTGGTGGCACAGAAGTTGACAGTGTTTGGCTGCTACCCAAAGGGTCAATGGTTCAAACCCACCAGCACAGAGAAAAATAAAGGAGTCTGCTTCCAGAAGGACTTAGAGCCTTGAAAACCCTCAGGGGAAGTTCTACTCTGTTCTGTAGGGTCACTGTGAGTCAGAATCGACTTGGTGGCAGTACGTTTGGTTTTGGGGTCAGTAAGATGGGTACTCAGGAGCCTTGGTGGTGCAGTGGTTAAATGCTTGGCTGCTAACCGAGAGTTCGGTGGTTCAAACCCACAAGCTACTCTGCAGGAGAGAGCTGTGGCAGTGAGCTTCCACGAGGATGGCAGCTTTGGAAGCTCTGGGGCAGTTCTGCTCTATCACAGGTTCGCTGTGAGTCAGAATCCACTCGACAGCGTGCGTTGGGGAAGATGGGCACCTTGGCGTACAGGTAGCCTTCAAATCTCTTCACGGTACATCTTAATTGGTACTAACCGTCTTTACTATGTCCTTTAAAAAGTAGTATCTCTAGTTTTTGTTACTAGAAATTCTGAATTAGTAATCTTTGTCTTTCCAAAGAATTTGGATCTGAAAACCTGGAGGATATGAGTATAGATTTGAGAAGGAGAAGTTAAACGTACTGTTTACTCTTATTGCAGAGGGTGGGGATTGCAGGGTTGAGGGGGTTAATGGGGTACAGTTGAAGGGCACATAGGATAACTGGAGGTTTTCTGTCCTCATAGAAGATAGACTCAAATACAATAGGAGAAAGTCATCTAAATCAGCATATTGTTCACATTTATTGAATAATTTACTAATAACAGGTTACTGGAAGTATAAATAGCTTACTGAAGAAGAAAACGTAGTATTAGCAGGTGGTTGTATATGTGGGATGTGACCCTTTCATAGATTGTGCAGATGTGGGCCGACCAGTTTATAAGATGGGGGGAGTTGTTTGATTCTGGGCTGGTCCAGCAGGCCCTTTAATTGTGGGTGGCGGGATGCAGAGTGGGAAATAACTCTTAAAATTGACATCTCCAGGCTCCTTTCTTAAATCACTGCTGGCCCAAGAGAACACTATCCATCTCATGGCTCAGTTTACATCTTCAGAAATGTCTGCACTCAGAAGTGGGCCAGAGAGGAGGATGGCCTCACACCTTATTTTAAGTGGCAGAAGCTCTCTGGAAGAACTGCCGAGTGGTTTCTGGAGCCGATACTAGGGAGCATTGGATTATCGACTGTGCACACTGCAGGTGCATTCTTCATGTCAGGGAGGCAGAGACCTTAGTGCCAGGCTTTTTGGAGATGGGAAAGTAGATATAAGTTCGTCAATACATGTGGTTTTGAAGTACTGGAAGGGAGGACTTTGCTTAGACATTGGTTCCCCAGACAGTGGCTGTGGTGGGCTGCCTGGAAACAGGAAGTGCTGGGCCAGCCACACTATCAGACTCCTCTGGGACTAGTCTGAAAGCATCAAGAGTGTCGAGAAGCTGGGGTGCCCTTTACATTGTGGACTGTGCTCACGTGTCTTTCAGTGACTGTTTGAGATACTTTTCATTGACCAGGCTTTACGTGCTGACTGTTCTTCACGATGCCTGTTGTCAGCAATGATGCTACTATTCATGCTTATAAAGAACAGTAGAGATACTTGTTACACATAATAGACACTTGCAGACCTGCTGTTGAAGTAATCCAGAACTCAATCAAGTTAAGTGAGCTTTTAGGTGCCATTTTCATTTATATGAAACTATGGGCTAACCAGACGGCTGGCGGTTCAAACCCACCAGCCACTCCTCGGAAGGAAGGTTGGGCAATCCTACTTCCGTAGTGATACTGCCTCGGAAGTGATACTGCCTCGGAAACCCAAGGAGGGGTCGCTATGAGTCGGGGCCGACTCGACGGCACATAACAACAACAACAACATGGGTTGTTTTATTAGTTTATGTTGCTTAGTAAATGATTATTCATCCTTGTTTAAAAGCCCTATCTCCTGTTTGAATTTAGACTGTTGCATTCTTATTTTAAATCATTGCATAAAGAAATAATCTTATATGTATTTGTATGTTTCCATATTTGCCTTCCAGGTGCCAGGATTGCTGAGTATTCCCAACTGTACGACCAGATTCTGTTCAGAGAGACGCCCCTGAAAGCTCAGAAGGATGGCTGGGCCAGCCAGCAAGAAGCGGCTAGCCTCAGGTCGGTACCACCATCCCAGGCTCAACACAGGAGTGAAGACTGGCTTTTGCATTCAACCTATAGTAACGGAGACTTGGCAGCTTTCTACCCCCAGCCAGAGCAAGACCTGAAGTCAAAGTATTCCACTCTAGACATCAAAACACAGAGTACTCCCAGACAGCTGTCCGCAGCTTGCTCCGTGCCTTCTCTTCAAATCACAGACCCTCTGCCTGGTCCCGTGCAGAGACGCAGCGTGGTAGTAAGTCAGCCCAACAAGGAGAACGCGTGTCAGGGCCACCTTTACAACTCTTTGGGCCGCAGAGGAATCAGTGCTAAATCTCAGCCCTATAACAGGTCCCAGTCATCGTCCTCGATCTTGATAAGCCAATCAGGGGACTCCATCACCTACCCTAGTGAGACAGGAAGGAAGCAGCTGTTGTCATTACACAGAAGAAGCTCAAGGTGTGACAGTCACCAGGATCTGCTGCCAGGGGTTGCCGACTCACGTCAGCAGGGCCCTGGAAAATGTTCAGAGCTCACACTCCAAGATTCACAGAAAGTTCTGGTAGTAAACAGAAGTGGACCCTCAGGTGCCCACATAGCGACCCAGAACTATTTTTCCAATTTCAAAGAGACTGAAGGAGATGAAGACGACTATGTCGAAATAAAGTCAGAAGAAGAGGCCGAAGTAGAGCCAGCTCCCGAGCGTCGACAGGAGCCTGCCGCAAAGGCGCTAGAGGCTGACTCCTCTGATACTGTCTACAGCAACAGCATGTGTTACTCTGTAAATGGTCCTTGCGCTCCAAAGAAGCCGATAAACAGCAAACTTGGTCTTTCACCCTTCCTGACATCTTACAACGACTCTGACAAACTGGATGACTATCTTTGGAGGGGGCCATCTCCCAATCAACAAAACATCGTCCAGTCTCTACGGGAGAAATTTCAGTGTCTCAGCTCGAGCAGCTTTGCCTAAAGTTCTTCTCAGTAGCTGCCTGGACTGACTTCTTATGCTCCTAAGTGACAGGCCCTGATATGGTGTTTTCTACGTGCCAGATGAGAGCAGTTTTGTAATAACTGTAGTGTATAATGCACCTTCCCTGATAGCACAACTTTCTGAAATGGCTTGTGGATGGCCAGGATTGTACTGTAGCCAACGTCAGCATCAAACAGGATGTTTTTGATGCTGACCATCTTTAGGTTTCATGTAAGTCATTCTTAACTTGAAAAATTCCAGGCTTTTTTTTTTTTTTTTTTTTTAACATGGTCATGATATTTTCTCCTATATCCTGACAATAATGCCCAGACTTGAAGAAATGCAATAATCCTCTAGTGTTCTCTGGAAGCCATGAGTAAGTAGTTTCATCCTAGGACTCAAAGGCAGCAAGGAGGCTTTTTCAAGCATTTTTAAAAGGAAAGAAAACTAAAACTAGAGTCAGGGATTCTTCTTAAATCTGGCATTTTTGTTACATTCATGGCAAGACCCTAGAATAACATAAACCAGAGATCTATAATTGAAGTGTATTCTGCTCTGCCCATTTTAAGGTCTCTGTGCTGGTGTTCCTACATCAGTTCGTAACGATGCAGAAATTGTGTGACTATTGAAGACTGACATGTAGTAGGACGAGTTTGCGCTGAGCAGAGATCTTTAACTCTATCCCTAGACAAGGCTTGGATAATGTGCTGCTCATAGTGTTTATTTCACGATTCCTGGGTTAAAACAAATGATTCCATCTGTGGCTTAAATGAATCCATATTCAATGAAGTGCGAATTGACCTAATTACAAGAAAAAGTGGTATGACATCAGGGAAGAACTCCTCATGTTACAGTTAAGGAAGATCACATGAACGAACCAGGCCTCCATACCAACAAATACCCAACCTACAGTAAACCATAAGGCAAAATAAGAAAACTCTTTTAAGCTCCCCTTGCCCAGTTTCTAACTACCTTTCTGAGTTTTGGATTCAGCCAAAGGGCTGCATCCTGGTTCTGAGGAGTCATTGATGCAGGAATGTGTCAAGAATTTGTTTTCTATACGAGACATAACATGGGCAACTTTTTTTTTTTTTTTTCAATGTTTCATGACATACAAAAAGAAAGAATCTTTGGTTACTAAGTTATGGCATCTTACTTTGATATTCCAGCTATGGTCCTTAAACACCAGTTGATAGTGATCATACATGCTAATCTCACTCCTTATAGAAGGAAGAGAAAAACAAAGGCAAGACCTTGAGTGAAAAGCAAAATAAAGACGTTAAAGGAAAGAATGGAGGCAGATTTATTGCTTCTTTATAAAAAAGATTCCATTTTATTGAAGGGTCCAGTTCATGCAACAAGAATGCCTTCTCAAACAGTACAGTTTGTATTCTCATTTTAAGTAGGTCTGTGTTCCATGGTCTCTCCCAAATCTGCTCTGTTTCCATTTTAAATTTAAATTTAAAAATATGATAATGTATGTAGGGAAAGGGGAGCTGGGCTTTCCATTTAAAGGTAAGCAATCATTTGAATGAATGACCTCTTACCATATTTTTTTTCCTTCTTTTAAAATCCTATACCTCTTTATCTTAATGTAAAATGTGACCATCCTTACTTTACAAATAGGTACCTAAGCTTTAATTTTTCCTTTTAAATAACATAAAACAACCCAAATTTATTCTCCAAACTATTCTTTCTTATTGTTTAAGAAGAAAAGTCAGTACTGAATAGCATGGTTCTGGAAACATCCCTGCTTTCATTGGCCTTCATTTAAACATTGTGCACGTTTCCAAGATTGAGTGATTTCAGAGAAGCACCAGGAAAGTGTGCTCCTAGACTGGCTGGAGGTATCTGCAAATGCTTATGCATTTCCTATAGAAAAGAGACTTACCTAAATCTTGTTCCAGGAATGCAGTTCCTCGTTTTTTGTTTTTACTTTGTGTGACCCAAATTCTACATCATTCTTACTATTACTGTCTTAATCTCAGAAAGTATGAATTCTTCACAACAGTGTCTCCATGCTGCATGGCTTGGAGGTCACCTGTGGGGATATTCCCTGCTTGAAGGTAGATGTCCTGCTGTGCCCAGTGTCCACTGAGTTGGCTTTAGTCTCCAAAACAGACCTGTAGTGCTGACAATCACCAGTCACTTCTGTCAGACAGGACACTGATTTTGAGAACTGTGTGTATATATAATCATGTTCGTGTTTTTCCTCCAAGTTATCTGTTAAAAACTTTGGTTAAAATAGTCCTTTTGGAGGTGGGTTGGGGTGTATATAATCAGGGAAAAAACGTTGTATGTACTTAAATATGTGTCCAGTTCTTATTAGGTCCCTGTACTGATGGTTCCAATTTTTTTCCCCCCTAAGTTCACTTTATACCTACTCTGTGAAAATGCATCTAGGAAAACATAGTTTAAATACTGTATATAAGATAATGAAAGTTAGTAATGCCCATTATTTAATAAAGTTTGTAAAATACAAAGTAAATTATAGTGTGATCAATGTGTTTACCCTAGAAAGGTCAGGCTTCTTCCAGACTGCATTTAGCTGTGCTGCCTTGTTGTTGCTTTTTTAGCAGTGCAGACAGCAGCTCAGAGAAGTGTTGCATTGACCTAGTACAGACCACTCTAGATCTTCAGATTGCTTTTGAAATACAGGCAGTCCCTGGGTTACAGACGTCCAACTTAGGTACAACCAACCAACTCTATACTAGAAAGCCTATTATGTTAAAAATTCAAGGTACACAGAATGGTTCAGAATAACAGATGGGTGCTACTTTGAAATGTACATCAAAACATGATTATTATTACTGTGTTACTGTGTTAAAGATGTTGTAAGGTCGCAATGAGTTGGAATCAACTCAACGACAGTGAGTTTGGTTTTTTGGTTTAGTGTATCTAGTAGAAGTGTTTCTTTAATGTCTTTTAGGGAGAGGAAGGTACACTGTATACCAAACAAACCAAACTCACTGCCGTCAAGTCCGTTTGACTCACAACAACCCCTCCTTGGGTTTCTGAGGCGGTATACTAATATACATATTTGACTGACTTTAAGTATGAACCGTACCTAATGCTCCAACTTACATACAAATCCAACCTACAGACGGACTTAGGACCAGAACCTGTTTGCAGTCCAGAGACTGCCTGTGCACTTACCTTCATCTCAGTTCATTTCTGGGAGGATTTTTCTTTTTCTCGGTTGTGTGAATCATTTTATTCCTTTCTAAGTAGATTTGTTTTTGAAGAATTCCTTTATTTTTTCCTCAACATGGAGGACCCTTTTCCTGACTCATTTAACCCTAGAAATCAAAGGTGACTGGGGAAAAAAAAGGTAGTAGCAGTTAGGGAGTCATGTGTAGGCCATTGAAGGCCATGTGTGGGAATAGGTAGAGGATAAAGAAGGTTGCATTGGCGAAGCTGAGAGTTGATGAAGGAAGACACTCGTGCAATTCAAAGGCTAAATGTGGAGGAAGAGCAAAGCTCCTGAAAGGGAATGGATGAGAATGTCATTATTAGGGCTTTTCCTCTCTCACTAATAGAAGTGCTATTTGTGACTGAGAAAGCTCTTAACAGAGGTTCTGAAAGTTGCCAGGTGGCTTACTAAGAGATTTATTGAGTTATTCCAAAATGTGGAACTTACTCCCTTCAAACATTACAAGAGTCAGACATTAAGAAAATTTCTATTTCTCAAAATAATAATAATTATTATTCTGACTCATAGTGACCCCCTTTGGGTTTCCGAGGCAGTAAATCTGTACCGAAGTAGATTGCCCAGTCTTCCTTCTGAGGAATGGCTGGTGAGTTTGAACCACGAACCTTCTGGTTAGCAGTCATGCGTTAGGCACTACGCCACCAGAGTTCCCTAATAAATAATAGGAGCTTTAATTTTATTGCCTTTGCCCACTTTCCTGATACTGCACTTCCTTTCTTTAAAAACTATCCAGTACACTCCTTCCCAAACTACATGTTCATCTCAGCACTGAAATAAAGGAACTCTTTTTGAATCTTCCTGCATGGGCACATAAAAGTAGGTCTAAGGGACAGTGACTTGAAACCAGACAAACCCAGGTACCCAGTTCCCATCACAACTTTTCTGTCCTACAAACAATTAAGGCTTAAAAAAGAATACTTAGTACCCCAACAGCCTGTGAAAGGAGCTTTGGTGGTGCAGCGCCTCAACCAGAAGGTTGGTGGTTCAAATCCACCAGCCACTCGGCATAAGGAAAATGGGACAATCTACTCCCAGAAAGATTTACCACCACCTTAAAAACCCAATGGGGGTTGATATGAGTTTGTTTTTCCGGGGGTGGGGGGATGAACAGTAAACAGCCTATAAGGCATGTGGATGTGGAAAAGAGTTCTTCCTGTTCATAGTAGGTATCAGATACTGTCAAACTCTTCAGTGGACCATTCATTTATAATGAATTCTAACCTTTTATTTTTTTTAATTATTTTTTTTGTGTGTGATTTGGGTGAAAGTTTACAGACCAAATTCACTTTCCATACAGCAGTTCACATACACTTTGTCTCATGACATTGACTACAATTTACCACAGTGCAACACCTCCCCTCCCACTTCTTTCCCGTAGTTACCTCTTCCCTATGCCCTCCCCTCCATGCACTCCTGCCCCCGAGCTGTGTCCCTGTGTATACATGGCCCTTCTGTTTTCCCATGATTGTTCTCTCCAAGGTGTGTATCTACCTAGTATAAATGTTCACCTCATTTGCCTGTCTTTTGCTTGGCTGTAAGCCACAGGTGTTGAGTTCAATTCCAGATCTGAAGGACAGCTAGGGGCCATAGTCTCAGTGGTTCCATCAGGCTCTATCAGACCAGCAAACCTGGTTCCCCTCCCCCCCCCTTTTTTTTTTAATGATTTTGGGTTGTGTTCCACATTGTTCTCCCACTCTATCCAGGATCTCCTACATAGATCCCCCTCTGAGTGGTTGACAATGGTAGCTGGGCACCATCTAGTTCTTCTGGTCTCATAGTCGTGGAGGCT